GCGCTTAAGAACCAAGATTTCTCAGGTTAATATTAATCCTCATTGGATTCCTTTTAGATAAGTAGCAATAGGCTTTTTTTTCTCTTTTTTTAATGGCAGAAAAAGCGTGCATAACGTAATACTTATCTTTTTACCATTTGTAAGTGTACAATTCACTGGCATTAAATATATTTAGTATGTTGTAAAACCATCACTACTATTAGACCCCAAACTTTTCCATCATCCCTGTCCAAAACTCTATGCCATTAAACAACTCTCCTTTCTTCCCTTCCCCTACCCCCTAGTAACTATATTCCATTTGCTGTGTCTATGATTTGTCTATTCTAGGTAGCTGATATAAGCAGAATCTTTTAATATTTATTCTTTTGTGTTTGGCTTATGCACTACGCATAATGTTTTCAAGGTCCATCAATATTCTACCAAGTAACAAAATTATATTCATTTTTATGGATATACCACAGTCTGTTTCTCCATCTGTTGATGGACATCCCTGGGTCATTTCTACCTTTTGGCAGTTGTGAATAGTGCTGCTGTGGATGTTCACGCACAAGTATCTGACTCCCTGCTGTCGGCTCTTTGGGACACACACCTGGGAGTGGAATGGCCGGGTCACAGGAAGATAGTTCTACATTTAGCCTTTTGAGAAGCCACCAAATTTTTTCACAAAAGTTGCACTATTTTGTATTTCTACCAGCGATGCACAAGGGTTCCATTTTCTTCATATACTTGCTGACATTTATTTTTCATGTTTTTAAAAAATATCCACCCTGTTAGTTGTGAAGTTGTATGTCAGTGTGGTTTTCATTTGCATTTGCCTAGTGACTTACAATGTTGAAAATTTTTTCATGTGTCTATTGGCTGTCTGTATATCTTTGGAGAAATGTCTATTCAAGTCTTTTCCCCCTTTGAAATTGGGCTGCTTGTTTTGTTGTTGAGTTTTAGGAGTTCTTTATATATTCTGGATATTAATTCCTTATGAGATATATAATTTGCAAATATTTTCTCCCATTTTATAGGTTGTCTTTTTTTTTCTAGTACCCATGAATGCGCAAAAGTTCTTTATTTTGATAAAGTCCAGTTTATCTATGTATTATTGCCTGAGTTTTGGTGTCATATCCATGAAATTGTCACCAAATCCAATGTTATGTATATTTTCTCCAATGTTTTCTCCTAAGAATTTTATAGTACTAGCTCTTAAACTTAGGTCTTTGATCCATTTTGAATTCATTTTTCCATATTGTGTAAGGTAAGCATACAATATCTAATTTTCCTATCACTACTTGTTGAAGAGACTGTCCTTTCTCACTGAGTGGTCTTAGAACCTTTTAAACAATGAATTGTCCATGTACGTGAGGATTTGTAGGCTTTCTGTTTACTCTATCGGCTATACGTCTGTCTCTGTGCCACATCACAGTGCTTTAATTACCACAGCTTTGCAGTATGTTTTAAAATCAGGAAGTGTGAGTATTCTAATTTTATTTTATTTTTCAACATTGTTTTGGCTATTCAGGGCTCCTTGCAGTTCCATGTGTATTTGAGGGTCCCTTTTCCATATCTGTGAAAGAGGCTGTTGGAATGTTGATAGAGAGCGCACTGAATTAAAGATCACTCTGGGGAGAATTGACACGTTACCCATATTAAGTCTCCCATCCATGACCACAGTGTCTTTCAACTTATTTAGGTATTTTAAATTTTCTTTCAGCAATGTTTTGTAGTTTTAGGTGTGCAAGTTTTTCATCTGCTTGGTTAGATTTATTCCTAAGTATTTAATTCTCTTGTGTGCTTTAAAAATGGAACCGCCATCTTAATTACCTTTCAGATTGTTCATCGCTGGTGTAGAAGAAGACAACCGATAACATCTCGTTTTTGTAGAGGAGGAAATAGGGCTTAGAATAAGATGCTCAAAGGTTCTTGGCTAGTAAGGCCTAACTCAGGTTACTAACTCCAAATCTATTGTGCTGACTTTCTGAAGAGGCAGCTTATCAAGCCTCTTTCCCATTTTGGCTGTCCTCTGACTCGATGCTCTGAGTTGTAAAATAAGAAACACTGGGAAAAAGAAAGAACTGGCAACAGTTATGCTCCAAAATCTAACCAGTGTGACAATGAAACCTACAGGAGGCAACCCAGGCTTCAAGGATGTCCATGGATCTCCCCCAGATACGTGCATGTTCATTGTTTCTGAGTGGAAGACCCAGAGGCAAATCACAGAGAGTCCATATTGAATGTGTGGCTTCAAAATGCAAAAAAAAAGTTGATGAAAATGACTCAGAAGTCAAGAAGCTACTTGTAGCAAATCAAGTATTGTAATACATTGTCAACACAGGACAGCTCCTCGTGGCCCTGACAACAGGACTGTGTTATGACATGTAGGTGGCGGTAAGACTCTTGAGGAACTGGGCAGGGGGTGGCTCAGGCTCAGACGAGGAGTACTTGGCAGCCTGCCACGAGGCTGGAGACCAGGAATGTGCTGAGCAGCTCTGAGGAGTCTCTGAAAGACCCTGGCAGTCTTGTTAGGATCAGCCGTCTCCAGGACCCCGAGTGCCATTCAGAAACCACCGGGAGATTCTCGTTCCCTGATCCCCACTGAACACTTTCCTTCCTTTCCAAACCTGCTGTCTGACAGGATTCCCGAGTCTCTACTTCCTCCTGTTTCTGGGGAAAAGACACCTTAATGTGCAGCCTGGCTACTCTTGTCGTAGCTGCCCCTGGTGGGAACCTGGCCCAGTCACTGTGGACGGTACTATGAGAATTTTCTCAGTCTGCCTTCCCGCTGGACAGAGAGATTCCCAGAGAGAAATGCTGAAGCCTAGAGAACAGAAGTGTATGTACACACACACACACACACACACACACACACACACAGATGAGAAATCAGACTACCCTCTCCTTCCTTTTGAAGCACAGAACGTAAGACCATTCTGGCTGGAAGACAACACCTTAGGATCTTCTCAGTTCACCCTCTTAAACCCCAGTGTAAAGGTCCTATGTTACAGTGATGTGGTTACTCCTCATACCTCCCAAGAAATCCCAGACGAGGAATGGTAGAGCTTTCATACCTGAAGAATTTTTAGGCAGAGAGGTAAGAGGGTGCGAGCGCTTAGGCAGGTTCCGCCCTAATCACATGAAATGCTGAGGGAGTCCCACAGGGCTTCAAAGCTGCCGTGGGAACAGCCAGATAGAAGCGGAGAAAGTTCACAAAGCAGAGTGTCAGGGTGGTAACAACTTTCTCTGTGGCTCACACCTTGGATGTGTTGTAACAGTCATTCCATTTATATCAGAAAAAATGGCTGAAGTAGGTCGTAATGTTTGAAATTATTTTTCCAGTGGGAATATAATGCCCCGATGACAGTCTTATTCCCACTTCTTCCATAAATCACCAGCACCTTCCTTCAAAATGGTCCAGCCTTTCACCTTCATACCATCCTCACCTCACCTGATTAACATTCTTAAACGTATCACTCCTCGGTCATAACTTTGCACAGTTTTCTTACTGCCAATAGAATTACACCTTAATTTCTTGTACGTTACTCAAGTTTTCTTACCAATCAGTTTCCCTGTTTATCCCTGACTATGGCCTGGTTGCCAGGCCAGCCACGCTGTGAGCCTCAGCCGCGGTTTCCTCGTCTTGTGATGCCAGCTCCGCGCCTCTCGACTCTTCCAACTCCTTCTGCTCACACTTCAGGGCTGGATCCAAATCCCGCCTCCGCGTTTACCCGAACCGGCCTCTCCCTGCCATAAAACCCAGTAGTGTGCTCACTCCGCACCTCGTGTTCGCAGCTTATTTACTGAGAGACTAATCCGCACGTCTCACTGCGCTGGAAGCTCCGTGTGCACAGAGAGTAGAGCAGGTCCCTGTCCTGGAGGAGGAGGCTTTGCTGCGTTGTCGCAACGTATTACTGTCGCTTGAGGGCAAGCCTCGTCACCACATTAAAAGGCGCAAGTTCTGTGACCATGTCATGCTGATCATGGCGCCACGTACAGCCTAGGATTTCAGAAGGACTTTGCCAAATTGAATTAAGTTCATTCTCACTCTCTCCCCGCTCCTTCCAACTGAGGAAGCTGAAGTGCAGTCATTATTTTGCCCTTAAACGGCCAAACCTAGCAGAAGCCGTCCATGTCGGCGGCGAGGCTAAAGAGGGCAGGGCAGGGGGCAAGGCAGGAAAGCCTCTCTAGCGTGTTGCCCTGTCAGCGGTGCAGAAAAGTGCTAGTCTGCTCCCCCGGCTGGATCCCCGGCTCTGGGTGTAAACTGTGAAGTTCAATGTGGGCACTTGCGCAGGCGAAGAAGCGAGCGAGGAAAGGCACAATGAGCAGAGTTGGAAAGGAGAGCCGCGGAAACTTCTCCGCCAGCGTAAACGCTGCAAGAACCATCGAGGATGGACTGGAGCATAATGACACGCCGAGGCCAGTCGCTGAAAATCACAATTCAGACCATACATTTGTAGCAATAGAGGCTTGAGGTCGGCACGTTTGGTTTCTAGGCACCGGCGCCCACAGGTAACAGCAGCCGGCACAGCTGCCTGAGGACGCGGAGGTCATCTCTCACGCAGGTCCCGAGCTGGAAGGATTTGACAAGCGGGAACCCCAAGCCCTGGTTCTTCTCCACCGAGCCCCGGGACAAGCGGAAACCTCTAACCAAAAGCAGAAAAGACAGGGGAGATGGGGCGCGGGGAGGGATAAAGGTGTCCGCCGACTTCGGCCACCCCCAATCTTTCCCGCCGTAAACCAGGAGAGTCCACTCCCTGCAGACCACCCAGTCGAAGGGTCCTCGGGCTTATAAAAGTGCCCGCCGAGTCTCGGTGCAGCTCCGGGACACGATTGCCACCTATCTCGTGCTCTGGGGCGGCGGGCAGCGTCACCTTAGTCCCTGGCCCCGGACCCTCTGCGCGCCAGAGTCGCTGAAGCTCGTGCTCCTCCTCTCTCCCGTCCCCTCCCCTCCTCTTCCCTCCCTCGGCCAGTCCCTCCCCCAGCCGTGGAGCAGCGGGGGCCGGGCTTGGCTGACGAGGCCCGTGCATTCCAGAAAGCCTAGCGAGCTAGAGCAACAAAGGAACCGGGCAGTCGGCGGGGGCAGTCGGGGGCTGCGGCGCGCTCTGGCGAAGGTGGCCGCCGGGCCCCGGGCTGGCGCGGGGGCGGCGCCGGGAACTTAGTCCCGGACCCAGGGCCCACGCCTGGCCTCCAACGCGGGGCCCGGAGCTGGTTTTTAATGGTGGAAGAGGGGATGGGGCTGCAGATTTGGGGCCCCGGGAGCTCCCAGGGCTGAAGACAACTTGGATTGCCAGGGAAAGGGGTAGGGAGCAGTGCATCCCCGCCCGGGCCTCCGCCGCCTAAACATGGGCCCCAGGTTCCAAAGTTTTCGAAGTTGGGCGCCGAGGGCTCGCGGCGCGCGGAGCACCCGGGGGAGCCCAGCACAGGGCTCGCGGGACGCGCAGGTCGTCTGAGTCGCCTCCGCAGCCCCAAGGGTTGCGCGTGGGCCCAGGGGGCTCCGGGGAGCGGGCGGGGGGCGCCGGGGCTTCTGCTGAGTTGGCGGGTTTGGCCATGGCCGCTGCCCGGCTTGCATGGGGCCCGGAGCTCTTGTCTCTGGGGTTGCTGCTGCTGCTGCTGGGGGGCCCGGGCCGGGGTATGGCCTTGAGCGGGAACGCGACCGGGCCTGGGCCGCGGAACACGGGCGGGAGCGCCCGGAGGAGCGCGGCGGTGACCGGCCCTCCGCCGCTGCTGAGCCATTGCGGTCGTGCTGCCGCCTGCGAGCCGCTGCGCTACAACGTGTGCCTGGGCTCGGCGCTGCCCTACGAGGCCACCTCCACGCTGCTGGCCGGGGACTCGGAGTCCCAGGAGGAAGCGCACGGCAAGCTCGTGCTCTGGTCCGGTAAGCGCGCGGAAGCCCGAGTCCGGGGCTGCGGTGGTGGGATGCGGGGACTCCGGGAAAGAACAGTCTCAGGCCTGAGATTCGGAGAGGGCGGGAGCTGCACCCGGGTGACTGGGAGGAACTGAGTCGGAAAGTTCCGAGCAGGCTGCGTGCAGGACGGCACCCTCGGTGAAGGGGAAGGAGCGCGAGGAAGTTGAGGAAGTGGGTCACAAAGGGCCTGAGCGGGGTGGGTGAGCTAAGGATGCGGAGGAACTGGGAGCCGGTCCTGAAAGGACTCCGAGAGACAAGAAAGGACTTTAAAAAAAAGAGGAGATGCTTCAGGTAAGTGCCACTCTGGAAGCTGGGTCCTCAATGATTCAAGGAGGTGTTTAGACCTTGGAGGAGAGAGATCCAGTTGAAGAGGAAAATGGGAAGAATGTAAATAGAAGATTTAGGCATGAAGGGCGGGAAATGAAAATTAGTGAAATTTGTGAGGAATGAGAAACCCCCTGATAATGAGTAATTAAAAGGTAACCAGAGGCCCTAGCCAGGTAGCTCAGTCGGTTAGAGCACAGTCTCCGTGCAGTTCAGGGTCCCCCACGCCTAGCGTGTGGGCTCCGTCCAAGTCAGGGCACACACAAGAATCCACCCATGAGTGCGTGAGTACGCGGGACAACAAATCGATGTTTCCCTCCCTCTCTTTCTCTCTCTCTCCCTCCCTTCCTCTCTCTCTAAAATCAATCAATAAAAAAATATTTTTTTAAGGTAACCAGAAAGTTTCAGAAATATTGTTTTGGGAGACTGGAAGTTCAGAGAACCCTGATCTTGTCTTGCTTTCACAGGAGATTTCAGGGTTTCCTCATCTGAAAAATGGGGACTCTGGTTTTTGTTTGAGATTGGGAAGGAATGTTACTGTTTTGATAATTATTTGTCATCAAATAATGATGCACCCCTGGGGCACAGGTGCAGAACTGAGGGGGGCGGCGCGTGAAGTCTGTCTAAAGGAGGTTACCAGATCTGCGCCTGGCTTTTGGATTTTATTTTCTTTCTCCAATGTCAGTTTTGAATCACGCTGGCTAGAAGCAGGGAGTGACAAGGCCAGGTTCCTTCCTAAGCACCCTGCAAGCTGCCAGCTCAGAAGAGTGACAGGTGGGGACATAATTCACTCCACACTGCTAAGGAAGGACCATTTGGGCTCCTTCTGCAGATTTTCAAGCTGGACCATAATCCCACACTGAGGTGAGGGCTCTGTGACTTGATGTTACTGTGGAAGTATCCACAGGCTCTCAACATCCCAGACTGAGGTGTCCTTCAGCAGCCGAGACCAGCCAGAGGGTCCAAACTTCTATTGTTACTATCAAATCCAGAAGGAAGGGTATGAACTTCTTTACAGCCCCTGCTCCTGTCCTGAGAGCAGCTGCTGAATGGGCAGAAGTGGTTTGGGCGGGAGAGTTTAGGAGTTAGAACCAGCTGCTGTCTTCGAAGGCTCAAACCCCACTAGCTGTGCCTGGGTGGGGCAGGTTCCTGCAGGGATGCCAGCCCTGAGCCCAGATCCTTAGTTCACTCGGAGCTCTTTTCCGCAGCCGCCCGGCATCCCTCAGCTCAGCCCCATTCCCATGTGCCTTCTCATTGTTCTCTTTCTGCCCAGGGCCCTTCTGTGGGATGTCCTATGAAGGAGGACCAGAAGCAGGTGTTGGTACGAGCTGAGCCAGTGGGTGGGTAAAGTCAACCTGGACCAAGAGTAAGAATCCCAGACAGGCTGCCAGCTGGGAATTGTGGCGAGTGGCCAGTGACTGGTCCTGTCCTGGGTTAGGGGCTTGACTTGGCTTTAGACGTGGTCGGGTCACCTGGCTCTTGGAGATATTTTTGTAGGTGAAGGATGAAAATGATCTAGGTCATCTTCTGTAAACTTTTGAAAGTAGAGACTACTTGTTCATCACTTCTTTCTGAAAGCCTCAGAGTTCTGAGTACACACAGTCACCCAAGCACTTATTCATTTAGGCTTTGGGTGCTTGCTGCAGCCTGGGTCAGGTTCTGGGACATACAGAGATGAACAATAAAGACATGAACCCTGCCATCAAGCAGAAGACAGAAAGTGAAACAGGCTTTAGCAATATTTGTGAAAGGTACTGTGACAAAGTAGGATGCTGGAGGAACACAAAGGACTTTGTGGAGCAAGAGAAGAAGACTCTGCCTGTTTGCCCCATGATCTGAGAAATAAGTAGGAATTACCTGGGCCAAGGAAGGGTTGGATGGGAAGGGTTAGGAAGAGGAAATAGCACACACTAAGGTGAAGGGGTGAGAGGGCTTGTTACTTTTAAAGAAGTTTACCAATTTCAGTAGCACCAGATCAAAGCATGGGAGAGAGGAATTATATGAGAAAAGACCTAGAGAATTAGAAAATAAAGGCATTCATCCCCTATATTAAGAAGTTTGCGTGTTATCCAAAGGATAATAAGGAGCCATTGAAGGCTTTTAAGCAAGGGAGAAATGTAATCATGTTTGCATTTTAGAAAGATCTCTGGGTGCCATGTGAAGGAGCCATGGTTGGAGGGAAAACCTGGAGGCTGGTTGCTTATTTAGAGGATGGTTGAAGGAGTCCAGGGGAGAGATGATGGGGTCAGGACTGGGGTAACAGGCTGTAGGAGTGGACAGGCCCCACAGTTGCAGAGCTAGAATCAATGGGACTTGCCCATGAGCTGGATAAAGGGCTTGATGAAAGGCGATACCTTCCCTTTCATGAAGCCAGAGAAGGCTAAAAGAGAGGGAGGTTTAGAAGAAAGCAGGGGCTTCAGCTTCGGCCAAGCGAATTAGAGGCGCTTATCGGACGTCCGTGTGGAGAGTGCCAGCAGATCTGGACTAGGCGTTGCTGCAGAAGGTGGCCGCTGGGCCGTGTGCTTCTTCCGCCCAGACTCCTGAGCCTTCGGAAGGTCGGAAGGATACCGTTGTGGGTGGCAGTTCATAGCGCAGGTGGGGCCAGTTCCTGGATTTGTATAGAACTCGAATCTCTCCTATCTCTCCCAACTCTCCGGAGTGGTCTTCTTCAGGGTTCAGTATCTTCTCCATTATAGCTTGCAAATGCCTCCTCTGAGGCATAGCGGGTTGATCAGATAATCATAATACCGAGGTCATGGTCCAACTTCGGCCAAATCTGGTTTGGTAAGTGGAGCAAAGACGCAGAAAAGCGAGAGGCTGGCAAGCGAGAGAGGTCCCTGACAGCCAGCACGTAGCCTCTTTGACAACTGCTGTGCTCTGCCTGTGCACAGGGGGGTGTGGCCGGTCACCCAGCTGCAGCATCCAGGAGGAGAAAGCCAGGGAAGCTGGGAGGAATTTCTCATTTGACTCTCAGACATCTAGTTGAGAGATGAGAGGAGGGATGTCGGTGGTGGTGGTGAGTTGTTCACAGGGTCAGATCGGGAAGCATTTCCTTAGAACTGTTCCCAAACCTGGCTGGCTCCTGGTCAAAATCAGTTTATATACACAGGGCCTGCTTGAATGTAGTTGGTAGGGTAACAATATGGGCGTAATAATTGATAGTTTTAATTTGAACACTTCACCTGAAATGTCATGTGGTATGCTTGAGTATGATATTATGATGTCACAGAATCACACACTTATGATTTTGTAATAAAAAGGGGTGTTATTTGTGTCAGATCATTCATATACACACGCATATATATGGAAAGTATGAAATATGGAATAACGCACATTTACAAATGCTGAGGTAGTTTAAAGAAACTAAAATGAGACTTAAATAGTATTGAGCACAGTTTTGCTACAGTTAATTGTATCTAGCTTCCAAGAAAAACAAATGATACTGGGAGTTGAAAAACTAAAAATTAAAATATGGAATAACACCCATGGGCCCACATTTTCATTTTTGCTTTAGATTTTTAAGGTTTTAATTGTGAAATGTAGCATGTATACAGAAAGTGTACAAAACTCAAAGGCGCTAAACAATAAATAATTATGAGGAGCCATATGGATCAAGAACTAGGCCACAGTGGGACCCCCAGAAGCCCCCCCCTTTGTCTTTTCCAATCACACCCCCCCTCCTTCCTCTTTTAGAAGTAACCACTACCCTGATTTTTGGATAATTATTTCCTTTTCCTCTATAGTTTTATCATCTGGTTTTGGAATGCCTAGAATTCAATTTTCATGTTTTTTAACTTTATACAGTGGAATCATGCTGTGTGTATTCTTTCATGTCTTGTTTCTTTTATTCTGCATTATTTTGTAAGATTCATATTATCGCAGCTCATTTTTCATTGCTGAATAGTATTCCGCTGCAAAATGTATCCCAATTTATTTGCCCATTTTAATGTTTAATGTTGTTAAACATTAAACTTGTCCCCAGTTGGGGGCCACTGGGAATACCATTGCTGTGAGTGTTCTTTTTTGTATATCCTGGTGCACCTGGGTGCATACTTGGAGATAAGGGCAGGTACACCTTCACCTTTACTAGATAACACCAAAGAGTTTTTCAAAGTGGTTGTACCAACTTACACTCCCATTAGCCCTATAGAATAGACGCCATTGTTTCACATGATTCCTGACTGACTCTTGGTATTGTCTACCTTTAAAATTTTGCCAAACTAGTGCATATGTTGTATGTATTTGTGATTTTAATTTGCATTTCCCTGATTACTAGTGAGGTTAAGCACCATTCGAGATGTTTACTAGCCATTGGAGTTCTTCTTTTTGTGAAGTGTCTGTCCAAATCTTTGGCCCATTTTTCGACAGGGCTAGCTGTCACTTTTAGAAGATTTGTAGGAGATCTTCACGGGTAGGAGCCCCTTGTTGGTTGCATGTATTGAAAAGATTTCCTGTTCAGTGGCTCGCCTTTTCATTCTCTGTGTCTTTTGTTGAACAGAAGTTCTAAACTTTAAGGTAGTCATTTATTAAACTTTTGATAAGAAGTACTGACCATATTTTATTTTAATACATGGCCCTTTTATACCACTAAGCCATGAATCTATTCTTTTACACTATTTTCTCAAAACTTTATAGATTTCTCTTTC